TTTGGGGCTGTTTTGCTTCTGCAGGTACAGGGAAGCTTCAGCGTGTGCAAGGTACCATGAATTCTCTTCAGTACCAGGAGATATTGGATGGAAACGTGATGCAGTCCGTCACACACCTGAGGCTTGGGAGACGTTGGACCTTTCAACAGGACAATGATCCCAAGCATACCTCCAAGTCCACTAGAGCATGGTTGCAGAGGAAAGGCTGGAACATTTTGGAGTGGCCATCGCAGTCACCAGACTTAAATCCGATTGAGAACCTCTGGTGGGACTTAAAGAAAGCAGTTGCAGTGCGCAAGCCTAAGAATGTGACTGAACTGGAGGCCTTTGCCCATGAAGAATGGGCGAAGATACCCGTAGATCGCTGCAAGACACTTGTGTCAAGCTATGCTTCACGTTTAAAAGCTGTTATAACTGTAAAAGGATGCTGTACTAAGTACTAAGATTGAATGTCACTTGGGGGTTGAATAAAACTGATAATGCTGTGAGCACAGAAAAGACATTTGTGGTTATTTCATTATAACTGTTATGTTATATTTGTCTGACCTACAAGTGCCTCTTTAATGTAAATGTAAGCAAGATGACTGAATGATCAAAAGCAATGTCAAACTGGCCAAAACACTCAATTTCAGTGGGGGTTGAATAATTTTGGTCACAACTGTACACTGTACTGAGGTTATTGGCAGGTTTGGTATACACATATATGTGAACCATATAGCAACCTAGGACTGGTCTTAGCTGGCCAGCTACAGTGCGACCATGTCATCGGGTGGATTTCCGCCTTTAGAAACATTTTGTAGCAGTTGTAAATCCGTTAGAAAAAAGATCTATTTGTGAGTATGATTTGTGAGTTGCTGAGTAATGCGTAAAATCCTTTTCAGATGCGTGTAGGCATCTCCAGGGGTTGTGCAGGTTGGCTTCTGTGAGAGAATGAGCTAAGGACTGTCTCAAATAGCGAGAAGGACTGGAAGTGTCCAGGGAGTTGCTGATGATAGCGTTAAAGTCTCCACAGTAAAGCAAGAAACATTTTTGGATTTTTGCCACTTTCTTCCGAATTGAAAAAATGAACCTGATGAATATTGGGGGCTTAAAGATTCACAATGGTGTAGGCAACATTGTTGATTTCACACACAAGGATTAGGAATCTGCCCCTGCTGTCTGACACCTGAGACTGTAGTATGAAAGCGACAGAGTCACGAATAGCAATCAAAACACCACACTTCTTATCAGGACCATTAGATGTAAAAATATGTGGGAACCTGCGGTTTGAGCAGTATGAGGCTTTAGAGGATGAAAAGTGCGTTTCTTGAACACAAATCGCATCCCCATACAGCCGCTGGGTTTTTCTCCATATCATTTGGCATTTGAAGGGGCTATTAAGGCCGTGAGCGTTCAGAGAAATAATCTTTAAAACCGTGAGAAAACTGAAAATTGTGAGCTGTGGTCACCCTCCAGTGGTACAAGCAGAAATGAAATGACAGGATTTAAAAGCCAACTAGGTAATCTTAAATTAGCCTTGGTTGTCCCTCAAGGAAGAAAGAGGTGTATCCTTCTGGTGTCAGCGTGAAGTGTCCTACTGCGGTCCAGTGGTACAAGTGGTACTGCTCTGAAGAAAAACATTAAAAAAAAGGGAGGAGAACTTATGAAGAAAAACATAACAAAAGAATAACATATAAGTTCGTGTGAAATGAATCACTTGACTGGGTGGGGGAAAATGCCGTGGCTTGCAGCCTGGTAAACCGCTCTCCAACCGTTCAGCGGGAAGAACAGAAGGCACAGATGAATGTAGGGTGATTAAAGTAACTGGCGTCACCCTGCAACTTGTTCCCACTCTGGAGTAATTTTCCTGGGGGAGGATTTATTAGGCGCGATTTCCTTGTCCGCGGGGATAAGTCCCCATTTTTTAGCTAGCTGGAAGCCCTCTTCTTCAGAAGTGACTGTGAGGACACGGTTATCTCTTGTAATCAGCAGTTTGGTGGGGAAGCCCCATTGATATTTAATATTGTTGTTGCGCAATAATTTTGTGAAAGAAATCAATTTCTTGCGAGCTGATATGGTGTGTTGGGAGAGATTGGTAAACAGGGAAATCCCATTATAAGGCGCTGGAAGTGGGTTGTTCTTCGACGCAAATAGCATTAATTCCTCCTTTACATGGTAGAAATTAATTCTCGCAATTACATCCCAAGGGACGTGGTCTGGGAGGAAGGAGGGCTTTGGCAGTCTATGCGCCCTATCCACAACTACTTCCCTATTCGGAGTATGCGGCAGCAATGTAGATATCATTTGTTGAATAAATTTGCGAAGATCTGAGACGAGTATTTTTGCTAATCCCCCTAAATTTTATATTATTTCTGTGGCATTGATCCTCAAGGTCCGCCGCTTTCACCTTTTAGGGCTTTCAGATCGTCCTCAACTTTGTGTGTGCGTCTACTAATTCGTTATGAGCAATGACAAAATCCCCCATTTTAGTTTCCACATGTGACACCCGCTCACCTAGATTTTCCACCTCTGAATTGATCTGTGTCACAAAGCTCATCATATCTTTATGTAGGGATCCTTTAAGAGTAACTAACATATCTTTCATAACTGTAGTAGTAAGGGGCATAGATTCTGCAGGGTAATCCTCCAGATTCTCTATAAATTCTCTTGTGGTGTTTTGTGAGAAAGAATCATGAAGTTGCTCACCCATCTGGAAAATATGTTTGCTTGTGCTTTTGAGGACTGCAGGTTGGAGTTCTCATACAGGAGTGTGCCAGCTCTGTGTGCACAGCAAGGCTGGATGCATGCAAGGGGGAGCTGTGGTTGTCTCCCTCCTCCTGTCCCTGTGGGTCTGAAACAGGGCAGAGACCAGCGCCATTTTGGGAGGAGGGGGGACCCGCCAGAGCAAAGACAGTTTGCAGGGTCCCTTCTTTATTTTTCTCTTCCCCATCACTGGTATCCCTGCCTGACACCTCCCGAAGGAAGGCAGTGATGTCAGTGGGTATTCCCGCTGGGTGCCGTTGCTCTAAGTAGCTGCAAGACTCGGCGGCTCTCAGAGCACTCTCACTGAGCAGCCATCTCTGTCCGCAGCCAGCCACGCCCCTTCAGTATTTGTTTCAATGATAATCCTTCCATGAACAAGCTATATTATATAGCTTTTTATTCTACAGTTACACCCAGGTTTTCATGAACATTCTTCCTGCAATTTTGTATGCTAGAGTCAAAAGTATGATGGGTGTTTTTGAAAGAAGTCGTCATTATATAATATACTACCTCATTTGGCTCTATAAGAATAGAGACATGATCTGGAATTTCAACTGTAAATGTTGTGGCAGGATGAGGCCATGCCACTGTGTAAAATGGCAGTGTAGGCCAGGATTTGTAGAGAACAGGCACAGGTGTATTCTAGCTTTATAGCAGAATCAGGATTAGAGTTCAGGGCTCCACCCTGAGTCGGAGTTTGTGTCTGCAAGGGAGCAGAGAGGTGCATGTGTACAAGCCTAAAGGATGTAGCTGCAGAAAAAGATATAAGCTGACAGAGGTACAGAATTAGTGCATGAGCCCCGGACATTGTGTTAGACTGTCAGGAGGATCAAGGTACTAAGCTTGAGCGTCAGGACTAGAGATGAGCGAAGTATTCAAAAATTCAATTCGACTGATTCGGCGAATTCGTGGAAAAATTTCGATTCGAGTCGAATATATTCGCTGCGAATTTAACTTATAAAAGGGTGTTTCTAGGCTTCAGAGAGCCTTTATATTAGTGCAGAACACTGTACCTTTAATTTAAATGCCCTTGGAGTCTGCTGGGGAAGAGAAATAATACTGACAGTCAGTATGACATGCAGATGAATGCCGTCGATCTTAGAATCACCGCACACTTCACTCATTTGGGCAGTCACGGGGCCAAAACCAGAGTGTGGAGCCACAGTGTGGCGGTGGAGGCAGCAGCAATGGGAGGCCATACAGCACCCTATGACAAAAATGGAAACCACCAGCAGTGTGAGAAGACCTGAAAGTGGCACATGGCAGAGTGTGGCGATGGAGACAGCAGCAATGGGAGGCTGTACAGGGACCCATGAGAGACTGTGGACCTGGCAGCAGCATGAGGAGGCGGTACTGGGGCCCATGGCAGATTACGGGCCTGGCAGCAGCAATGGGAGGCCCGTAATCTGCCAGCACCCTATGACAAAAAATGTAACACACCAGCAGTGTGAGGAGACCTGAAAGTGGCACATGGCAGAGTGTGGCGATGGAGACAGCAGCAATGGGAGGCCGTACAGGGACCCATGAGAGACTGTGGACCTGGCAGCAGCATGAGGAGGCGGTACTGGGACCCATGGCAGATTACGGGCCTGGCAGCAGCAATGGGAGGCCCGTAATCTGCCAGCACCCTATGACAAAAATTGTAAACACACCAGCAGTGTGAGGAGACCTGAAAGTGGCACATGGCAGAGTGTGGCGATGGAGACAGCAGCAATGGGAGGCGGTTCACGGACCCATGAGACACTGTGGACCTGGCAGCAGCATGAGGAGGCGGTACAGGGGCCCATGGCAGATTAAGGCCTGGCAGCAGCAATGGGAGGCCCGTAATCTGCCAGCACCCTATGACAAAATGGAACCCTGGGCTGGGGCAGGCAGAACCGCCGTATCTTTATCACGGTTTTTCCCAGGCCACCGAATGGCGACGCTGCATATGCTGACGCAACGCTGTAGTCCCAACATGGGCCCCCTGGCCACGCTTGACTTTCTGGCCACATAGTCGACATACGGCTACGTTTACTTCCTCGGGCGGCTTGACAGAAAATTGCCACACCGCCGAGTAGGAAACTTTGCCCCCGCTACTCCTCACTGGCTGACTGCTACTTCCTCCGTGCACACCGGCACCACTACTGGCCGTGGTAGTAGGCTGCAGTGGAGCTGGTGCTCTACTCCTTGGCCGTTTGCCTCCACTGACACTGCTGCGACCCTGCTGCCTCCTGGCAGCAGCAATGGGAGGCCGTACAGGGACCCATGAGAGACTCTGGACTTGGCAGCAGCATGAGGAGGCGGTATAGGGGCCAATGGCAGATTAGGGGCCTGGCAGCAGCTATGGGAGGTCCGTAATCTGCCAGCACCCTATGTCAAGAAATTGAACACACCAGCAGTGTGAGGAGACCTGAAAGTGGCACATGGCATGAGACACTGTGGACCTGGCAGCAGCATGAGGAGGCAGTACAGGGGCCCATGGCAGATTAGGGGCCTGGCAGCAGCTATGGAGGCCCGTAATCTGCCAGCACCCTATGCCAAAAAATGGAACACACCAGCAGTGTGAGGAGACCTGAAAGTGGCACATGGCAGAGTGTGGCGATGGAGACAGCAGCAATGGGACGCCGTACAGGGACCCATGAGAGACTCTGGACTTGGCAGCAGCATGAGGAGGCGGTATAGGGGCCCATGGCAGATTAGGGGCCTGGCAGCAGCTATGGGAGGTCTGTAATCTGCCAGCACCCTATGTCAAAAAATTGAACACACCAGCAGTGTGAAGAGACCTGAAAGTGGCACATGGCATGAGACACTGTGGACCTGGCAGCAGCATGAGGAGGCGGTACAGGGGCCCATGGCAGATTAGGGGCCTGGCAGCAGCTATGGGAGGTCCGTAATCTGCCAGCACCCTATGTCAAAAAATTGAACACACACCAGCAGTGTGAGGAGACCTGAAAGTGGCACATGGCATGAGACACTGTGGACCTGGCAGCAGCATGAGGAGGCGGTACAGGGGCCCATGGCAGACTAGGGGCCTGGCAGCAGCTATGGGAGGCCCGTAATCTGCCAGCACCCTATGACAAAAAATTGAACACACCAGCAGTGTGAGGAGACCTGAAAGTGGCACATGGCAGAGTGTGGCGATGGAGACAGCAGCAATGGGACGCCGTACAGGGACCCATGAGAGACTCTGGACTTGGCAGCAGCATGAGGAGGCGGTACAGGGGCCCATGGCAGATTAGGGGCCTGGCAGCAGCTATGGGAGGCCCGTAATCTGCCAGCACCCTATGACAAAAAATTGAACACACCAGCAGTGTGAGGAGACCTGAAAGTGGCACATGGCAGAGTGTGGCGATGGAGACAGCAGCAAAGGGAGGCCGTACAGGGACCCATGAGAGACTCTGGACTTGGCAGCAGCATGAGGAGGCGGTATAGGGGCCCATGGCAGATTAGGGGCCTGGCAGCAGCTATGGGAGGGCCCGTAATCTGCCAGCACCCTATGTCAAAAAATTGAACACACCAGCAGTGTGAGGAGACCTGAAAGTGGCACATGGCATGAGACACTGTGGAGGCCCAGGGCAGCAGCATGAGCATGAGGCAGTACAGGGGCCCATGGCAGATTAGGGGCCTGGCAGCAGCTATGGGAGGCCCGTAATCTGCCAGCACCCTATGCCAAAAAATGGAACACACCAGCAGTGTGAGGAGACCTGAAAGTGGCACATGGCAGAGTGTGGCGATGGAGACAGCAGCAATGGGACGCCGTACAGGGACCCATGAGAGACTCTGGACTTGCAGCAGCAGCATGAGGAGGCGGTACAGGGGCCCATGGCAGATTAGGGGCCTGGCAGCAGCTATGGGAGGCCCGTAATCTGCCAGCACCCTATGACAAAAAATTGAACACACCAGCAGTGTGAGGAGACCTGAAGTGGCACATGGCAGAGTGTGGCGATGGAGACAGCAGCAATGGGAGGCCGTACAGGGACCCATGAGAGACTCTGGACCTTGGCAGCAGCATGAGGAGGCGGTACAGGGGCCCATGGCAGATTAGGGGCCTGGCAGCAGCTATGGGAGGCCCGTAATCTGCCAGCACCCTATGACAAAAAATTGAACACACCAGCAGTGTGAGGAGACCTGAAAGTGGCACATGGCAGAGTGTGGCGATGGAGACAGCAGCAATGGGAGGCCGTACAGGGACCCATGAGAGACTCTGGACTTGGCAGCAGCATGAGGAGGCGGTATAGGGGCCCATGGCAGATTAGGGGCCTGGCAGCAGCTATGGGAGGCCCGTAATCTGCCAGCACCCTATGTCAAAAAATTGAACACACCAGCAGTGTGAGGAGACCTGAAAGTGGCACATGGCATGAGACACTGTGGACAGCAATGGCAGCAGCATGAGGAGGCGGTACAGGGCCCATGGCAGATTAGGGGCCTGGCAGCAGCTATGGGAGGCCCTGTAATCTGCCAGCACCCTATGACAAAAAATTGAACACACCAGCAGTGTGAGGAGGACCTGAAAGTGGCACATGGCAGAGTGTGGCGATGGAGACACAGCAGCAATGGGAGGCCGTACAGGGACCCATGAGAGACTCTGGACCTGGCAGCAGCATGAGGAGGCGGTACAGGGGCCCATGGCAGATTAGGGGCCTGGCAGCAGCTATGGGAGGCCCGTAATCTGCCAGCACCCTATGACAAAAAATTGAACACACCAGCAGTGTGTGAGGAGACCTGAAAGTGGCACATGGCAGAGTGTGGCGATGGAGACAGCAGCAATGGGAGGCCGTACAGGGACCCATGAGACACTGTGGACCTGGCAGCAGCATGAGGAGGCGGTACAGGGGCCCATGGCAGATTAGGGGCCTGGCAGCAGCTATGGGAGGCCCGTAATCTGCCAGCACCCTATGACAAAAAATTGAACACACCAGCAGTGTGAGGAGACCTGAAAGTGGCACATGGCAGAGTGTGGCGATGGAGACAGCAGCAATGGGAGGCCGTACAGGGACCCATGAGAGACTCTGGACCTGGCAGCAGCATGAGGAGGCGGTACAGGGGCCCATGGCAGATTAGGGGCCTGGCAGCAGCTATGGGAGGCCCGTAATCTGCCAGCACCCTATGACAAAAAATTGAACACACCAGCAGTGTGTGAGGAGACCTGAAAAAGGCACATGGCAGAGTGTGGCGATGGAGACAGCAGCAATGGGAGGCCGTACAGGGACCCATGAGAGACTCTGGACTTGGCAGCAGCATGAGGAGGCGGTACAGGGGCCCATGGCAGATTAGGGGCCTGGCAGCAGCTATGGGAGGCCCGTAATCTGCCAGCACCCTATGACAAAAAATGGAACACACCAGCAGTGTGAGGAGACCTGAAAGTGGCACATGGCAGGGGCATGATTCATGGCGGATTTAGTCAGTTGTGTCAGGAACTGGTGGTTTGAAATCCAGACTAATCCACGCCTGATTCATTTTCACAAACGTGAGTCTCTCCACACTTTGGGTGGACAGTCGTGTCCTCCGCGGAGTTACAATACCTCCTGCCGCACTAAACACGCGCTCCGATGCCACGCTACTGGCCGGGCATGACAGCCTTTCAAGGGCAAATTCAGCTAGTTGGGGCCAAAGGTCAAGTTTCGTTGCCCAGTAGTCAAGGGGATTGTCTACCTCGTTTGGCAGGGTGCTGTCCAAGTAGGCCCAAGCCTGTTGTTTGAGGTCCTGCTCCAGGTCCACCTGATGCTGCTGCTGCTGCTGCGGCTGGTTAGTAGTTTCCTCACTGCGCTGGTGAAGAAAGCTACTCATCATCGACTGCAGACTGAGGCAGCCGCTGCTGGTGGAGCTACCACTGCTCCTACCACCCCCACCCCTCCCCTGCTGCCATGGCAGCGGAACGCGAGCGCACAGGGCCCACAGTGTCTGAGGATGGACGTTGGCGCACAAAGGCAGAGACCAACTGACTACATAGGTGGTTTTTATAGTACGTTATTTTGGCCTCCCTCTCAGCAGGTGTGAAAAAGGCCACCATTTTTGAACGGTAGCGAGGGTCCAACAAGGTGGACAGCCAAAAGTCATCCCTCTGTCTGATGGTTATTATTCGGCTGTCGCTACGCAAGCAACCGAGCATGCTATGGGCCATTTGTGCCAAGGAATGCGAGGGACTCCCTGCCTCCATCTCCACAGCATACTGCCACGGTGCGTCTGGGTCCTCTGTCTCCTCCTCCTCCTCCTCTACCAGATGCTCCTGCTCCTCCACTCCTGTCCGCTGAGTGGAAAAACCACCCATTTCACTCAATAATTCCTGAGCACAAATGTCCTCCTCTACCTCCTCCTCTTCTTCCTGTCCTGCCCCCACAGGGGTCATGTGGCGTTGAGATCTGTGCGCCACGTCTACCGCACCCTGACCAGCCATTGTTAACAGCATTTGTTCCAGGACGTGCAACAGAGGAATGACGTCGTTCATCCCATAGTCCTGCCGACTCACGACGAATAGCGTGGCCTCCTCAAAGGGCCTGAGCAAGCGGCAGGTGTCACGCATGAGCTGCCAATGGCTGACATCGAAGTTACACAGGGGAGTACCTTTATCCGCTTGTAACATCAGGAAATCGGTGATGGCCTTTCGCTGTTCGTAAAGGCGGTCTAACATGTGTAGGGTTGAATTCCACCTTGTTGCAACGTCGCAGATCAGGCGATGCTGTGGAATTCCGTTCTGCCGCTGCAGCTCAAGGAGGGTGTGCTTTGCGGTGTAGGAATGGCTGAAATGCATGCAAAGTTTACGTGACATTTTAAGGATGTCTTGCAGTGGGATGGTGGATTTTAGGAACCGCTTGACAACCAGATTGAACACGTGAGCCATGCATGGCGCATGGCACAACCTTCCTTGACGCAGAGCAGACACCATGTTCTTCCGTTGTCGGTCAACATGGTTCCGATTTTCAGTTTGCGCGGAGACAGCCATCTGTCGATTTCTCTGTTCATTACACTCAGAAGTTCCTCCCCTGTGTGACTACGTTCGCCAAGGCATACCAGGTGCAGCACAGCGTGACACCGTTGCGCCCTGCACATGTGATATGCCGGTCGGGTAATGGGACTTGGCACGGGGGTGGCGGCTGAGGACACGGCGGAAGAAGAGGTGGTAGAGGCGGACATCTTTTGTGGACCAAGGACGTGCAAACGTGGAGGCAAAAGCGGCGTGACCTGTCCAAGTTGCTGGTGCGGCTGTGACGGCACCACGTTCACCCAGTGGGCCGTAAATTACATGTACTGTCCCTGACCGTAGTTACAGCTCCACACGTCGGCGCTGCCGTGCACTTTGGCAGAGACCGACATGCTCAAAGACTGGCCCACCATCTCTTCTACATGTGAATGCAGGGCTGGCACTGCCTTTTTGGCGAAGAAATGACGGCTTGGCACTCTCCACCGCGGCGCGGCACAAGCCATCATTTCTCGGAAAGGTGCTGAGTCCACCACTTGGAAAGGGAGGGACTGCAGCACCAGCAACTTGGACAGGAGGACGTTCAGCTTTTGCACCGTCGGGTGCGTGCTCGCAAACTGTTGTCTCTTGGAAACGGATTCCAAGAAAGACTGCTGACGGAATCCGTGAAGAGGAGTAGCAGGAGAAGGAGCATCTGAACGAGCGGAAGATGGCAACGAGCGACAACTCCCCTCAGCAGAGGTGTTGGAGCCTTGACTGGCTGATAGAGGGCGATTGACGTCGGGTGACGGAGCAAGTAACGGAGCGGGTGATGGAGCGGGGGCTGGGGCGGGCAGAACCGCCGTATCTTTATCACGGTTTTCCCAGGCCACCAAATGGCGACGCTGCATATGCTGCCGCAACGCTGTAGTCCCAACATGGGCCCCCTGGCCACGCT